TATCAGTAATAGAAAGCAGAACATGGGCAGTTACAAACCGTATGATGCTGGTCTCTTTATGAGACGCAGACGTCGCGATTGCGGAAGGGAAACCCTAATGATGTGTATGAATGCTTCGGGCATAGTCAAAGAAGCGTCCTGCACACAGTCAAAATAATTTAACTTAGAACGCTGTAGACATCAGTGTACTGGTCCGCTGCCAAATTGCGGCATAGAAGCAAGGTGCGTGCGCAGCGAAACAGTAAATGATTAATCGAAGTAATATCACCCCCTCTGTTGCTGAAGTGCGAATCTGGGAGTGGTGCCGAAGCGCGCTGCGGTAAGTTAAGACGATCGCGTTGCCCGCAATTCGCCAGTGATATCTGTCAGTGATCGAAACTTCCCAAGTACTCCATTTCTTTGAATCCGCTGGGTTGCATGAAAGCAGGGAACACGTCTGCAACGGTTTGCGAGGGTTGGCGCCTGGAACAGACTGTCGAACAGCCACGCGTTAAAAACCGTTCAAGGAAAGAAGAAAACCGAAAAAAACGGCACAGGCTACGAAGTCGGCGATTTGTAGGAGAAAAACATCACAGATTTTCTTGCGCAACCACAGACATATTTAACGACGCACACATCAATGAAAAGAAGATCAATGCAGACGCCACTGACCGAAGACCAAAAATTCATCGGAAAGGCCTCTTCAGACCAGCAGCGTGCAGTTCAAAGTAAAAGTAGGGCAGCATCGCCTGTAGTAGGATGTAATATTACACTACGCTGTGCAACAGTTCTGCTTCTACAAATGAATAAACGAAATTATTACAGCCCAGCCAGACAGACTGAAGACGAAGCGGTCGAGCAGTTGTATCGAGAAGGCGCAGTGCAGAAAAAAGGTGTTTATACGACTGTCCAAAGAGTGATGCAATCTTCACAGCAATCGCTGGGAAAACAATGAGCGACACTGAAGTAATGAGCAGAAAATACGCGAAAGGCGAAAGAAATTAAAGGGGTGACTACTTCGAAATTTTCACTGAAAGCAACCTCCTCCTAGTCATTAACACCATTTTCCAGAAAATCCTGAAGCTACATTGGAAATGGAGAATCCCAGATGTCAAGTCTCTTAACTATATCGACTAGATCCTGATGGACAACAAGCGAATAATATCGGAAGTGTCTGTCACAGGTGAGATGCATCTGTAAGAGGCCAAACCAAGGCATTCTACGTTAAAAATGTACCATCAGTGTTGCAAAATAAGAATCAATTAAATAAGATCAGGGTCTCTGAGAGGCGGACAGTGACAACAGGGCCCAAAAACCCTAAGGACTAAGATGACATCAGTGAACTTCGAAACGAATATCGGCGAGTAGAGAATACCATATGCGAGTTACGACGAATTTGTCAATACCAACTAGGCT